GACACAGGAGTCATCTCACCTCTGACAGAAGACACAAAGGGACAGAAGAAATCTGCAGTTCCAAGATACAGGTGTAGGCTGCGTCATGAGGTGATGGTCTGTGGAAGCAGTCTCCAGTCCAAGTTTAGCCAGTGAGCCGACCAGACATCAATGGTTGCATGAGTCAAAACCAAAAATCTCTTTGGAGCAAAGGGAGAACTTTAAATTGAGGCCGAAAGGGCAGTCATTTAAAACAAAAATGTTGCAGCTCCAATCGACTGTGGAAGGACTGGAAAATCAAAACTAAGAAGGTGATGAGAGAGAAGTCATTTATTCCAGGAGTGCAGAAACTGCTAAGCAGATAAACGTTGGTCAATTTAAAGAAGTTTGTGATTCTGGTCTTACACAGATATTTTTACAGAAAATAACAAGAACATAGAGGGATTCACAGCAAGTCTCTGAAGTGCTGGAAAACTTCTGATTTAGCTGTGAAGGATGGGAAAACATACCCTGAAGCCAAGAAGCACAGGAGAACTGCCATTGCTGCACAATAATAATATTGAAGAAGATAAAATACCTAGTTGCACAGAAAGCTATCATATCCCCGAAATAAGGAACAAAAACAGAAATTACTGGAAATGCTCAGCAGATCTGGCAGCATCTGTGGAGAGAAATCAGAGTTAAAGTTTCAGGTCCAGTGACCCTTCCTCAGAACAATTTCTGTTTCTGTTTCTGATTTACAGCATCTGCAGTTCTTTTGGTTTTTACATTAGAAATAATATTGCCAGTAGGAATTAATTTCAGAGATGGGCCAAATGGAAAACAAAATTGGATATTCTGGAGAAGACAGTTCTTCAGTTATAGAATAACTTATAAACTGCATTACAAAATAGAAGCTGAATAAGTGGACACATTTCTGTACACAGTTGCGCGTATAATGTGATGTTGTTGATCACCAAGTGGTAAAGATACAACAGACAAATTTGTAGAGGCAGTAAAACTCTTTGATAATTATTTCAGAACTAACAAAATTTTTGAAAAGGTGCGATTTAACCGTTAAGTAAAGCATTCAGGAGAAATCTATGGATGATTTTACTGATGACCTACATAGGCTAGTGGAGAGATGAAACTACGGTGAATTAAAGGCAGAATCTGTAAGAGACCGGATTCTTGTTGACATTACTGATGAGACTTTGTCAGATTTATTTCAGTCCAAAGAAGAACTAATTCCAAAGAAAATCATTCAGACAGTGAGTGAAGCAGAGGTTTGAAAGCAACATAGATCGATCCTAAAAGGAGAAGATACAACTTGGGACAGAGAATCTACAGAATGTTTTCATCTCTTAAGGCACAAAATCCACACCAGATCAGTCAAATGCAGCAAGTAGGACAGACACCAGACATCAAAAGCCCTTGCAATTGCTCTGGAGTAAAGAAAACTCAGGTGTGAACAATGCCCACTTTTTAACACTATCTTTAACCCAATGCACCACCGCTTTTCCAAGTCCAAACAAAAATACGTTCGAGGAGAATAGTGAAACATTCAGATCATCTATATTGATACAGTCGAAAAGCTGGGAGGATGGTGGGATAATGATAACTGTAAACCTATTAACAAATGTTTAACAATATAATAATTATGAGGGAGAAAGGGGTGACATTGCGAGTAGGTCTGAAAGGGTTAGTATTTGAGTGTTGTTACCATCACCCGCTATGATGATGCAATGGAGACATGGTTGGAGTAAAGAAGGATCTTGTAGGAGACAGACCTGGGGCCAGTGAGCTCCTAACATTCTTTGTAGTAATGTACATCATTTTATGTAACCTGTTCTTTGTTACAGTGATGCAAGAAACTTCATATTGTTTACTCAACAAGACTCTTCTAGTTAGACCAGAAAGTGGAGGGGGTTGGGATAAATTAATCAACGCTGCACCATTTTGGGTTTTAACACTTAACAAGGAGCTCTCTTCAATATCCTGCTCAGTTTGTAACTCTGATTAAAATAGATTATTTGGTTGTATCTCTTACTGTTTTTGGGAGCTTGCTGTGTACAAATTGATGTTTGTATTTCTTACATCATAATAGTGACCACTTTTCAAAAACACTTCAAAATGGCTTGAGATGTCCTGAAGTTGAAGGTGCTATTGGAATGCAAGTTTGTTTGTCTTTGTTCAACTCTGGCTCTTCCAGGTTGGATCAAAACCATCGGAGACATTCAGTGTCTCACCCTGTGCAGGACAAACTGAAGTGACGCTGGGTTAAATCAGCTTCACTAACTCAGTGTGTGTTGCGTCCAGGTGAAAATATCTCATAACAAGCAGAACTGGAAGTTATTTAAAACTTTGCAGATGTCCAAGGCAGCTGCTGTTTGCACCAATTCCACTGTGAGAGTGTGATCAACACCTCATTGCTGAATCATTCACAGCTGGGATGACTGAGAGCTTGGCTTAATGGAGGATTCAAGGGTCTGATGGGCAATAAATAATGGTGGATTGTTATGAGTGCTCAGAAAGACAGCAGCGAGAGCAGGAATTCCACATAATTCCAAAACCATGCTGAAGAGAATGTGAGGAAACAGATCAAAATGAGGAATTTTCTGCTGGAAAACCACCATGAGGCCCAACGCTGCTCAGAAAAGGAAAAATATTGATGCTGTGTTTCGTGTCAGTGCCACTGCTAGGTGGCATAGTGAGTTTGCACACACATAACTGTAGCACTGTAGTGCTAAGTTACTGCCAAGTGACAGAGGTGCAACTATGTAAATGATTACTGTTTAAAAACATTCTTTCAGTTTGCTTTGCTTGAGTTCTCCCTCACAGCACTATACCCCAATTAATTTATTTGTTTACACCTCATTATATTGCCTGCTGCTCTTTTAAAACTACACGGTGGCTCAATGGTTAGCACTGCTGCCTCACAGCACCAGGGACCCAGGTTTGATTCCACCCTCAGGTGACTGTCTGTTTGGAGTTTGCACATTCTCCCCGTGTCTGTGTGGGTTTCCTCCGGGTGCTCCGGTTTCCTCCCACAGTCCATAGATGTGCAGGTTAGGTGGATTGGCCATGCTAAATTGCCTGTAGTGTTCAGGGATGTGTAGATTAGGTGGGTTATAGGGGGATGGGTCTGGGTGGGATGCTCCAAGGTTCGGTGTGGACTTGTTGGGCCGAAGGGCCTGCTTCCACACTGTAGGGATTCTATGATTCATAGATTTTTAACAACAGCAAAAACAAAGTTGCAGGAAAAGCTCAGCAGGTCTGGCAGCATCTGTGAAGGAAAAAGCAGAGTTAACGTTTTGGGTCCGGTGTTCTCAGGTGAGCTTTTCCGGCAACTTTGTTTTTGTTCCTGATTTACAGCATTCGCAGTTCTTTCAGTTTTTATATAGATTTTTAACATCTGACCTGCAGGTAAAGCTGGCATTCTGGATTGCTGGCCATGATAGAAAACATCGAATTTTCATGAATGGGAGTAAAGGTTTGAGGTTTTAATGATGTGTGGCTGACCTGAGATGTCAGTTCAATGTTTGGGTAGTGAAGTAAGACTCAATACCCATATTTCTAACCTAGGTTTCCTGTGCTGAGTGCCATCATTATCTCAAATTGTGGAGGTGTTCCACGACTGGGAAATTGCTGAAATCAAACTTGGGCATTGAGGGGGAGACTGCTACTAGACTGGGTGGGATATTAAAGGACATGGGAGGGGCGAAAGGGAGAGTGATATTAAACTGGGTGGGGTTTTAAAGGGTGTAGGGGTGAGAGAAAGAGTGATATTAGACTTGTTGGATATTAAAGGACAGAGGGAGTGAAGAGGAGAGTGATATTGGACTGGGTTGGATGTTAATGGGTGTTGGGGGGTGAGGGAAAGAGTGGCATTAGACTGGGTGAGATATTAAAGAACATTTGGAGTGAGGGGCAGAGTCAGAATAGATTGGGTGGGATATTGAAGAGTTTGGGGAGTGAGAGGGAGAGTGGGATTCGGCTGTGTGATTTACTCGAGAAAAACAATCAGCATAGGCTTGATGGACTGAATGGCCTACTTCAGTCATGGAACATTCTGGAATCCTTTGCCTGGGCACACACTCTGATTACTGGCAGCATATTTGAATGTTTAAAACTGTTTTACTTGGATTTGTTCTTCGACTTCATGCTTCAACCTTTATCTCACCACTGAGTCTCCTGATTGCCATGGCAATGATCAGAAATTTCAAACAAGATCTTATGAAATGCTTTCATTTCATATCCCAAGGAAAAAAAAATCTGGAAGTGTGTTCATTTTCCATTGTTTAAAGCTGCTAAATGCTAGGTTGTTTCCAGATAAGCTTTTGCGATAATTGAGAAAATAACTTCAAAGGGCACTGGCTAAATCCCAATCTAACGCCTCCTTTTTGACTCACAGGATTGGGTTAAAACCAACTTTCTTTTTGAGAAAAAAATGTTTTCCCAGCAAAGGCCAAGCTCATTCCTATAAATAATTGGGAAATCTCCGTGACGCTTTCCCTTACTAACCATGGACAAATGTATGCCATTCTGATCGCACAACGTCCAGTTTTACAAAATCCTGCAAAATGTTTTCAGGGCTCTGGGGAAAGATTGGGAGGGGTGGTGGTGATTATTTGGAAGAGTTTTGAAGAGCTGGCATTGGCATTATAGGTCTTCTCCTATCTGTTAAAATAAAATCCTGTACTTCAGCCATACTGCTACTGTTAGACTTTAGAGTGGGTTTAGAGGACATTGACTAGAATGGTACCAGGGTCAGGGTGGAGACGCTGCGTTGCTTGCCTTAGAGCAGGGAAATTTCAGGTGAGATTTAATAGAGGGCTTCAAAATCCAGAAGTGATTTCATGCAATAAATAAGGAGAAAGTGTTGCAGTGGCAGGAGGGTCAGTCACCAGAGGGTCTCAGATTTAAGGTCCTTGTCATTTGGATATATCAGGATGACGCATTTCTAATACAGTGAATTGCTACAAATGGAACATGCTGCCCGAAAAGGACTAAGTCAGTCTGCTTTTCTCGTCTTTCTTCAGGTACACAGATCACGTTCCCTGCATCCTAAACATTGAAAATCTCAGCAGCTACAAACATACAAAGGGGGAGGTGAAGATGCAGTTAGCAATGTCGCTGGGCGAGCAATCTGAAACCCCAGGCAATTTTCTGCTTCGCCTTGGTTGATGGTGAAATTTAAATGAAATAGAAATTCTGTAATTAGAACCTATCTGAATGCTGACCATGTATCAATTATAATTTAAAAAACCCCATCTTGTTCGCTAATGCCAATTTAGAGAAGAAAAACTTCGACCTTCTGAATGTAACTCCAGATCCACAGCAATGTTATTGACTCTCAACTGCCCTCTGGGCAATTCTGGAGGGGTAATAAAGGCTGGCAAATCCAGCAACACTCATGTCCCATCAATGAATAAAATGCAAGTACCTGCGTTTGGGAATGTGAAAGGTACATTCTAAAGAAAGCTGGATTCCAGGTGTTGAAGCATTGCCAGTCTAGAGTTGGCCAAATCTCCAGGATTCTCCTGGAGTTTCCCAGAACTGAAGATTAATGTCCAGGGAGAGCTGGGAGCAAAAAACCCTAAAATTAAACAAGGATAAAAACAAACTGTTTCTTTAAACTTAGTATCTGTCATATTATAAAAATATTGGGAGATGGCAAAAGCCTGTTTGAACAGCAGTCAAGATGTACTCAAACATTAAGGTGGCACAGTAAGGTTTAGCATTGCTGCCTCATAGCGCCAGGGACCTCAGGTTTGACTCCAGCCTCGGGGGACTGTCTGTGTGGAGTTTGCATGTTCTCCCTGTGTCTGCGTGGGTTTCCTCCAGGTGCTCTATTATCCTCTGACAGTTCAAAGATGTGCAGGTTAGGTGGATTACAGGGAAAGGGTAGGGTGAGTGAGTCTGGTTGGGATGCTCTTCGGAGGGTAGGTGAGGTCTTGTTGGGCCAAATGGCCTGTTTTCACACTGTATGGAGATAATGGAGGCTGGGACCTCCAAGATCATGCCTGGTGCTGGTGAGGTGTTAGGATGGGAAGGTCAAAGCTATTGGCAGGAGAAAGCAGGGATTGGATGGAGTCCATATGTAATTCTCTGAATCAATCCGTCCGTCATTTGGCAGCTCACCATCATCCAACACCATCCGGGGAATTTTTCACAGTGCGATTAGGCCATGCTACCAAATGTGGGTGGCTTTAATGTAAGATAGCAATGCAGCTGTCTGCAAGTTCTCTGCTAAACCACACACCATTCTAACTATATATATCTATGCTTGGAACCTCCCCGTCGCTGGGTCAAAAATCCTGACAATGGAAGCCGCAGCAGTTCAAGAGGCAAACTCACAATTTCACAAGCAAAATTAGTGATCAGCAAAAATGTTGGCCCAGCCAGACAAAGTTTTAATTAGTAAAAGAATCAAGGATTATCGGAAAAAAGACAGGAGGGTAGAGTTGAGGATTATCAGATCAGTCTATGATCTCATCGAATGATGGAGAAGACTCAATGGGTGAATTGGCCAAATTCTGCTCCTGCTTCTTATGGTCTAGGCCCATCCCAGGGAAAAATAATAAAAAGTGTTATATCACACAACGCATTCTAACTATTTGTGCCTGAGCAACATTGGGTGTCAGAGGAACCAGAACTGTGGTCTGTGGCGCAGACATTCAAACAGAAAGCTTCTTTGTACCAGGGAAACAAAGCTGAAACTGTCAAATGTAGAATTCCAACCATTTTGTAGGATGTAAAATTGCAGCATTGTCCCAAGGTTCCTCAGAATACACAGAGTGTATATTGGCAACAGACCTACTGTACAATAAAGGTCAAACCATTCAGTAACCAATGTCACAGAATCATTGCTGAGGGTGCCCTGCACTGTCAGTCAGTGCTGAGGGAATGCTTCACTGTCAGAGGGTCAGTACTGAGGGAGCGCCGCACTGTCAGAGGGTCAGTACTGAGGGAGCGC